TCCCCTCACTGCCCCCCAGCCCCTCCTCTCTGCCCCCCTGCTCCCCTCACTGCCCCCCAGCCCCTCCTCTCTGCCCCCCAGCCCCTCCTCACTGCCCCCTTGCACCCAAAATACTTCCCAGCTTTCTGCTGGCTTTGTTGCTGGCACCAGGAGCAGCTTTGTTGGGCACCTCCAGCCCTGCCAGGTAAGGAGGGATGGGTGCACCTCTGGGCAGGCTTCCCCCTCCAAACAGAGTTTGTCCTTGGGCTGGAAGCAGTCAAACCTGCTTTGGAGGCAGCTAGAGGTGAGTCTGGACACCTCAGCTGAGGGAATTCCATGGGAGAGGCATCTTTGTTCCCAGAGGGGCTAAATGCAGTGCTGAGCTTTGGGGTGGGACATGTGGGTTGGAAGAGGGAAGCAAGGCAGGGCACAGCAAGTGACCTTCCTGGGTGGCTGCTGAGAAGGAGGGTTGGTTTGGGGGCTGGTTGGAGGTGGCCATGGGCAGCTTCTCCTTGGGGAAAAAGGGAGAAAAGAAACAGGTTAAGGGGATAACTGGGGAAACTGGGTGGTGGTGATGGTGGTGGTATCTCAGAGATGTGCTCCTATTTGGGGTGTCCCCAGCCTGGACTGAGGAGATGTGGTCTTTCTCAGCAGCACTGGGGAGCAGCAGAAGGTGGCAAAGAGACTTGGATACCACAGGGAGTTGGGGAAGAAAAGGAAGAGCAGCCAGGGCAGCACTTGGAAGAAAGAGAAGCTGCTCCAGGCTGGTTTTCTCCACCTTAAGGCCAGGTTGGCTTCAAGCCCTGTAATTTACTTTTCAGAGAGGACCATTAGAAGTGAACTCCAAGCTGCACGAGACCTGTGGCTTCCCTTTCTTTCTGTCTTTCCTTCTTGTTTCATTTCATCCTTGTTCTTTTCTTTCTTCCAAGGCAACAGGAGTTTGTTCCCTGCCAACCTGCTGGTCCCACATGTGGAGCAGTGACCTCCGAGCAGTTAATGGTTCACCTGAGAGACTCACAAATCCCTCACAGGGGGTGGAGTGATGGAACCTTGAACTCCTGATCAGCCACTAAGCAGCAGCCTGTGACATGTCCTGCCCATGCAGGTCCTGGAGAATCCCAGGACTAACCAGATGAGCCTTAAGGTCCCTTCCTACTCAAACCATTCTGCTGTGTCTAGTTCTGCAGCCCCCAACACAAGGAGGACATGAAGCTCCTGGAGAGAGTCCAGAGGAGGCCACAGAGATGATGGGAGGGCTGGAGCAGCTCTGCTCTGGAGCCAGGCTGGGAGAGTTGGGGTGTTCAGCCTGGAGAAGAGAAGGCTCCAGGGAGACCTTAGAGCAGCTTCCAGTGCCTGAAGGGGCTCCAGGAAAGCTGGGGAGGGACTTGGGACAAGGGCAGGGAGGGAGAGGACAAGGGGGAAGGGATTAAAACTGGAAGAGGGAGATTGAGGTGAGACATGAGGAGGAAATTGTTTGGTGTGAGGGTGGTGAGAGCCTGGCCCAGGTTGCCCAGGGAAGCTGTGGCTGCCCCATCCCTGGCAGTGTTGAAGGGCAGGTTGGATGGGGCTTGGAGCAACCTGGGCTGGTGGGAGGTGTCCCTGCCCATGCAGGGGGGTTGGATCTAGATGATCTTTAAGATCCCTTCCAACCCAAACCACTCCATGATTCTATGAAGGCCATCCCCTCACACAGCAGCCCCCAGCAGACCATCACATCCAGACCTCCCCCCAGATATTTCCAGGACACCTCTACAAAGGTCCATGCCACACAAAGCAAGGTCCTGGCCCACTCCAATGGCCTTTACCATCCTGAATTGGAAAATTCCAAGTAAGAAGGGGTAGTTCTGCTGCTCATCACTGCACATGGTGCTCCAAGAAGGGAAACTTCAACCTTGCCAACCTGTGCTGGGTCAAATGGGATCCTGGGGTGCATCAGGAGGAGTGTGTCCAGCAGGTCTAGGGAGGTTCTCCTCCCCTCTGCTCAGCCCTGGTGAGACCTCACTTGGAGTGTTGTGTCCAGTTCTGGGCTCCCCAGTTCCAGAGGGACAGGGATCTACTGGAGAGAGTCCAACAGAGCCTATGAGGATGATGGAGGAACTGGAACATCTGAGAGACCTGGGGCTGCTCAGTCTGGAGAGGAGAAGACTGAGGGGGGATCTAATGAATGCCTCTCAATACATGAGGGCAGCAAGAAGGCAGGACAAGCTCTTGTCACTTGTGCCCTGGGACAGGACGAGGGGGAGTGGATTCAAACTGGAGCCCAGGAAGTTCCACCTCAACATGAGGAAGAACTTCTTTGCTGTGAGGGTGACAGAGCCCTGGGACAGGCTGCCCAGAGAGGTGGTGGAGTCTCCTTCTCTGGAGCCTTTCCAGCCCTGTCTGGATGCCTTTCTGAGTGACCTGCCCTGGTTTTGGTCCTGCTCTGGCAGGGGGGTTGGACTGGATGATCTCTGGAGGTCCCTTCCAACCCCTGACGTGATTAAAACCCCCCTGTGATTGAAAGTCAATATATGGAGTTCAATGTTGGCCTAACCAGCCCATTTCAGATCCTGGGGAGGTTTGGGTGACCCCTTTGGAACCATCAATTCCACTTCCACGGGGTGAACACCTGGCACATCCTAAGAGCTGAAGACAACCCTCAAAAATACCCTTCCTGTTGCTCTAGCCAACAAATCCTGCAGCCAAACCAGGCAGAATGACACACTGGTACCAAGAGTTGAGTGACAAAAAAGGATCTGGGAACCCTTACTCCTGGTAGCCCCATTTCAGGGGGGTCCTCCCCACCTCCTGGCTGGAACCTTGATAAAGATGGGGAGGTTCAGAACCTGCAAACAAGCCCTGCAGGTCACACCCCAAATCTTTTAGGACTTGGACTCGGCTCATCTGACAGCTCAAAACCCTGGTGGGTAATGATGTGAAGGGGATAAAAAAACCTAAAGGAAAGGGAAAAAAGGGAAGGAATTTTTGCCCGCAAAGGGCTGGAAAAGCTCTGGGAAGTTGTGTTGGGGAAGATCAAGTGAAGCACAAAATGTTAACAAGGCCAAAATCTGATCTAAATGATGAGGCAAGAGAAGACACCAACCAGAAAAGATCCATTCCTTGAATGCAGAAAGGAAATACAGCCAAGTTCTTCTCACCAGCAGCCTCCCTGTGACCCAAAAGGAGGTGAATGCTGGTTTGATGTGGTGAAGGCTGTGAAACCAGGAGGTGAGGGACAACCTGCTACTCACCTCCACATGTGGAACACCCTGACTTGCTGAGCCTGGTGCTTCCTTTTTTTGGATAACGGGGGTTGAAAGAGCCCCAGCACATTTTGGGTGTCCCCCTGGAGCTCTTCTCCACCTTCCTGTTTGACACAGTGGACCTGCCCAGCACCCAAGTGGCCGTGCAGGCTGTGGTGGCTCTTCTGGAGGACCAGGGCTGGAACCTGATCATCAACAAGGCTGGGGCAGCTCTCAGGCCATGCTGCTCTCCCTGGCCTGGCAGGAGATGCCACCAATGTGGTTGGGCTGCTCCAAGTTGCCAGGTTGTGGACCTGTTTCTCCTTCTTGGTGAGATGTTCCCCATGGGAAAAGGTGCCCTCAGCTGGGTGGGTTCTCACTCTCTGGAGCCAGACAGACTGATGGGGGTCTCCTCTGTCCAACCAGAGGAGTAGGGAGGCAAATCAGCCCCAGTATCTCCCATGCTTTGCTTCTCCACACCTGGAGCTCCTGCCTGCCCAGGGCTGGCCCTGCCAGCTCGCTCCTTCCCTGAGGAAGGGAAAGGCTGGAGCTTGTCCATCCTTGGGGCATCCTCCCCATCTCCTGCCCTTCTGCTGGGGAGATCTGTCCAGCTGCTGTGACATGGTCTGTGACAGAGACCTCCAGGATGATCCTGAAGCTCGGGGCTTGTCACTGGGGGTCTTTGCCTCAGGAATTCCTG